AAACACATCAGGAAGTGCGCTTCGCAACTAATAAGCTGTGGATTTGAAACTTTCTAGTGTTAACGAATGATAGAGAGTCGAGCTTAGATTCTTAACTCGTAGTGAAATATCATTGACAGGTAGCGTTTTAGTGTTTAGATTTTTGATCCTAAAATACTGTTAAACGTTTGCTCTCGATGTTTGCGTAATAGTTTTCGTTCAATTTTGTGCTGACTGTTATATCCGAGTCGATTTAGTCTACTAGCCTGTTTTCCTTCAACACGAATCTTTGGCGGTTAAAAAATGTTCGCTATCTTTTTTTTCGTAATTAGCTGATCTTTCTATTTTGAATATTTTATAGGAATTGTGCTTCGCTGCTAATAAGCTGTGGATTTGAAACTTCCTAATATTAACGAATGATATTGAGTCGAGCTTAGATTCTAAGCTCGTAGTGAAATATCATTGACAGGCAGCGTTTCAGTGTTTGTGAAATTTTGATCCTAACTTTCTGTTCAACTTTCGCTCTCGATGTTTGCATAATAGTTTTTGATTGATTTTTGTGCTGAATGTTATATCCGAGTCGATTTAGTCAACTAACCTGTTTTCTTTACAACTCGAATCTTTGGCGGTTAAAAAATGTTCGCTATCTTTTTCTTGTAAATAGCTGACTTTATTATTTTAAGTGTCAGCAAGATTTTTGTTAAACTGTCAATGGAATGATTTTGTCTGGAACTACACTCTAATGTCAGTGTGAATGTCTAATGGTTTTCAGCGGTTCCAGTAGTCAAACGAATACTCCATCCAGTTGCTTTTTTGTAACTAATTCCTAAATATTCGGACATGGTGTGTATTTTGTAAACACATCATGTAGTGCGCTTCGCAGCTTATAACCTGTGCATCTGAATCTTCCTTATTTTAACGAATGATAGAGAGTCGAGCTAAGGTTCACATCGTAGTGAAATATCAGTGACAGATAGCGTTTTAATGTTTGTGGAATTTGGATCCTGACTTAATGTTAAATTTTCGCTCACGATGTTTTCATAATAAGTCTTGATTCATTTTTGTGCTGACTATAAGATCATAGTCGAATTATTCAAGTATCGTGTTTTTCTTTCAATGCGAATCGTTGTGGCAGTAAAAAAATGTGTCAATGGATTGATTTTGTCATGAAACTACACTCTCTTGTCAGTTTGAGTATCTGACGGTTTTAAACGGTTGCAATATTGAATCGAATACTCCATCCCGTTGCTCTTTTTATAACTGATTCCTAAGTCTTGTGATTATAAATATTTTGTAAACGCACCAGGAAGTGCGCTTCGCCGCTAATAAGCTATGGATTTGAAACTTCCTTAGTTTAACGAATGATAGAGAGTCGAGCTTAGATTCTTAACTCGTAGTGAAATATATTTACAGGTAGCGTTTTTAGTTTTTGTGGAATTTTGATCCTAACTTACTGTTAAACTTTTGCTCTCGATATTTGCATAATAATTTTTGATTCAATTTTGTGCTGACTATAACATCAAATCGGAGTTAATCGAGTAACGTATTTTTCCTTCAGCACGAACCGTTATAGCGGTTAAATGTTCAGTTTTTTTTCTGGTAAATAGCTCATCGTTATGTAAGTATCCTAAAGTTGCTGGTTGAAATGTCAATTGACTATTTTTATCTGGAACTGCACTCTGTTGTCAGTGCGAATATCTGACGGTTTTAATTGATTCCAATATTCAATCAAATACTCCATCCAGTTGCTTTTGTAACTGATATCTAAATAATCCGACAACATGGTGCGTTTTTGTACGCATATTTAGAAAAGCGCTTCGCAGCTAGTAAGATGCGGGTTTGAATCTTCATTTTTTAAAGGAATGATAGACAGTCGAGCTCTCGTAGGGAATTATCAGTGACATCTGACGATTTACTCTTCGTAGAATTTTGATGCCGAATTTCAATAAATTACTCGCTTTGACGTTTCCATTTGTTGATCGGTTGTCATGCTTACTATTGCAGGTGGCCCCTTTGTATGAGTGCACATTCGAAATTTTTAGAGGATATATTTTTCCTTACTCACAAATCGTTGTGGCATCAAAAATGTTGTTCGCTTTCTTCTTACTTTATTTTTCTGGAAAGTTGCTCATAATCATTAAGTTTTTTGTTGAAGAGTCAATGAAGTAGTTATGTCTGCAACTAGACTGCGAACGTCTGATGGAACGTCTGATATTCAAACGCATCCTAAATGTATTTAAATGTAACTGAAATCAAAAGTTTTGAACAATTGTCAACTATTTCGAGATCACCATCAGATTTGAATCTCCCGAAGATTAATCGATGACAGTAAATCGAGCTAATTTTTTTTTATCACATTGTGAAACATCGCTGATAGTTAATGTCTTTGTTGGTTGTGGGTTGTTCATCGCGACTTTTTCCTAGAATTGTTGCCTAATTTTGTGTGTCTCTTTTTTGAGCAAAAAACCAATATTTTCAAAATGTGTTTTTTTTGTTCAAAATGTGTGTGTTTTGTTAAGGGAATACCTGGGAAGAGGAGATATGTGCGTTCATCTCTCTCAGTAGTTTGACCTCCCAGCAAGCAAAGATTTATTACTTTTTTTTACTGGCCAGCCTTTAAGTTTTGCAGAAGGTGCCTTTGATTGAGCGCGAGCCGGAAAACGCGTCTGCTTGGTCAAAGTGTACCAAAAATGGCTCAAAAGTATCACTGCAGCGCAAAGGTTTTTCTGCAGCGCCCAAATTTCTGAATTGGGTTTATTTGGCATTTCAACTGAGCTCAGAAAATCTACTTTTTGACAATTGGTCGCAGAGCAGTTTGACATAATAATGGAATATAAAAATTAAATCGGTTTAGCAATGTACACCTTAAGCGGGCCTTGTTTTCGAACTTGAATGTTTGACGGATCTACATGCAAATAATTCGGATTCAATCACCTTGCGACTACTTTTTTCTTTTGTTTTTTTTTTTGTAACGAATTACCGCTGGCAATCAATTGTCGCCTGCTACGAAATGTGGCTATTCCATTTCGTTGAAATAATAAAAATTAACCAATTTTTTAAAGTTATTTTTGAAAATTGTCGACCCTCGATAAAATCTCCACCTTGAATGTCTTTCGGGTACTTAATGTTTTCAAAAATGTCAATCATTTCGTTTTTGTATATGCAAGCATGACAGATTCTGTGTCAACTGAAATCTCGGAAGGCTTTATTATTTTGTTGTTGCTAAATAACTGGCCTTGAAAGTCTATTGTCTATCGGGTGCATACGTAAGGCAAGCATAAAGCTGAATTGTGCCTTGATCATTTGTATATGGAAGTAAGACCGATTCTGTGTTAACTGCAATCTCGTAATACTTCCTTAACCATATTTGACAATTGGTAAATAACTGGCCTTGAAGGTCTATTGTCTATCGTGTTCATACATTAGACGAGCATAAGTTTGACTTTTCAATTCTTTAATTTGTGTGTGCATAAAATGTGTTTATTTTGAATTGTGTTGTTGCGATAAAATGTGTTCATTTTGAAAGTGTTAATTTTGATCCAGCTTTTAAGAACAACCAATGCGAAGGATATTAACACAGACTATTATATTACAAATGGCACTTAAGCTTCAAGGTATCATGGATATGTAGCGTAGAGGTTGGGAAGGAGACCAGTAACAAATAAAGAGGGTTCGAATCTGGGCAGGGTCGAATGTTTTTAATGAACTTTTTCGTATGCTAGTTTAAATGCGTCCGCTCTTTAAATTGAGGCATGTTAGTTGGTTTGTTTTTCAAATCGACTGGTGCTGCTAATGCGTCATAATTGGCTTCCGTCACCACTTAGCATTTATGTAGACTCATAATTGGTGTGTCACTTAAGAAATTTTGTAAACTCAAAGTTTTACTCGTTCAGTTTTTACCAGTAGCGTTATCGGTCATATTTTTGCTTGCGTTTGCGAAATGGAAATTCGCCTCTGTGTAAATGGAAGTTTAAAAGATTCTGTGTGAATTGAAATATCACAATACTTCAAATTTTGACTATTGTTAAATAATTGGCCGTGATTGTGTATAATCTAGCGCGTTGGAACTTAGGTAAGCATAAGACTGACTTTTGCCTCGAGAATTTGTATTTGGAAGTTTGACAGATTCTGTGTTAACTGCAATCTCGTAAGGCTTCCTAAAGAATATTTGAAAATTGGTAAACAATTGGCTTTGAAGTTATATTGTCTATCGGGTTCATACATTAGATAAGCATAAGTTTGACCTGAATTTTCATTCTTTTGAATGAAATTTGACAGATTCTGTGTGAACTGAAATCTCATAAGATTTCTTAAAGAAACTTTGACTTGTTAAGTGTTTGACCGAGTTGTTGACGTTCATACATTAGGTCATCCTAAAACTGATTTTTTATTTCAATTTGTATATGGAGTTTTGAGTGACTTTTCGGACCATTTACTGAGGAGATCGTTCACTTGGTTAGAATTAAAATGTTTAAGCCAATTAGATTTGAGAATAGTACATTTAAGCCGTGCGTACATTTAAGATGGCCTTGAAGGTCTAATCGATAGTGTTCTTTAACCCTAAATGAAATTTGAAAATGGCTTTTCGGTACAACCATTGTTTTGTGAAACTAACGAAACCTGTGTTAACTGAAATTTCGTTATGCTGCCAATTTACTGCTTTAGTAAATTTCGTTGCAGTACTATGGTTATTATGTGTATTTGTTGATCTTAATTGAACAATTGAAAAACTCACCAACATTATATGAGGAATTACGTTCCACTCTTACCCCATTGCAAATTATCCTCCTAAAATTTTTCAAAATGATATTATAATCATACGCGTGAAATTACGACAAAATGTATAAGAAATTTAGTTCAGATTATTCGATTTGTTCATCGACCTAAATTTCATTACATTGTGACAACATATAATTTTTTTTTCAAATTTAATTCTAGCGTGGAGGGTGGGGAGTGAAAAATAAGAGATTATCTACTTAATGTGACTGACGATGGCATAATATGAGGTTGGTTTTTTACAGGTTGTAAATATCGAAGAACTAGCCAGCTGTTTCAATCTGAGAAGTGCCGACTGTGTTTCACGTCTGAAGAGTCTACAAGAAGCAGAACAACTTACAGGCATTCTAGACGACAGAGGCAAGTTCATATACGTTTCAGAGGAAGAAATGAAGAACTTGGCTCAATTTATATCTCAAAGAGGGCGTATTTCAATTTCAGAGCTGGCCTCTGCATCCACATCCAGAAATATTATATCTCTAAATCCTGTCCTGGAATCCAGTTAATTGTTCAGGTGCTCCTAGTTGTAAGATTTGTTGTTAGTTTTTATGGCTGGCTGCTGGTATGGTAAATTTACATTTCCATGAGGTACATATTTATAGAAAGCCATCTGTTAGCTTTTTTGTCGAAAATTGTAATATATGAATGTGCTAAATGTACCAAAAGTTGTTCTAAAAAGTTTTTGAAATGTCAGACAATAAATTATGAGCCCCCGTAATTTAAGTTATTAGTTTTGGGCTCCTGGAAAAGCTTGCTGTCATAAATTATAAAGCATTTTTTGGCCGGCATTTGTTTTATTTGAATCTTGTTTGAGACCTCAAATAAGATGAAAATTGAGCACAGGTTTTTAATTGTAACAGAAAGAAGTCATTTATACTTTATATAAGTCTTCCTTTTTGTTTTTTAAGGAAAAGGTCTTTGAAATTTGTTCACGCTCATATTTGACTTTCCTCGTTTCCATTGTTCACACATGCAAAGATTGTTTTATAGTATGAACTCTTTTTCTCAACCTAAGTCGCAAATATTGTTGACGCAAAATGTGTTCATTTTGATCAAAACTAGCTATTAAGTACAGCCAATGCTAAAGAGCAAGACACTTTTTGAGCATGTCTACATTTTGAATGCGTGTGTCTGCTCAAGAATTGTCGGCTTTGTAACCGCTTAATAAGTTTAGTTTCGATGCTTATTTAACATTCAATGGTCCTACGTTTTGGCATATTCTCTTGAAAGAAATTTTGATGTCAGACAAAATCAAAACAAAGGCAGGACAATTTTTGATATATTAATTTTTTCAATTCTTTCTTCGGCTTTCATCCCTATTTTTTGTCAGTTAGCTTGTCATGCTGTGTGTGGGTTTTATCGCAAGTAGTGCAGTGTTTCATTTCGTCTTTCTTTATAAAATTTCTCAAGGTGCAGGTAATTCCTTTCCAAGACTTCGTACTTTTTCAGACTCATTTATTTTTCTATCGCAATTGGAGCGAAGCTCTGTTTCGGCTGTCAAAAATTATCGATTTTTTATTTTCATGCGTTGTTTTTGATGGCAGAATTTCTCTGAGGATTCCTGTATCCAGACTAGATTGCAGTGGGATAGTGGACGGGAAAGAGATTGAGACTATCAACTATCTGAGTTTTCGACTGATGATTTTCTTTCCTAATTATTTGTTGCCATTATTGTCAGAAAATGGCCAATTTTGAAAAACCTTGTAAGGAAAGTACGCAATGAATAGTGGCATCGAAATTATGCCCTTAGGGGTCGAATTTTTGTTTTCCTGAAACTTTCATTTTGCCGTATTATGACGAGCAGATGAACGTCAGCGCGATTATTTTTATTTTTTTTTTCAGGATTTCGATTTCTCGTGGTTTGACTTTGGATTTCTTTTCAAGTGAAATTTTTTCCTTTGTTAAAAAGAAGGCAAGCTCCACTATCGAACAGCAAAAGTGTGAAGTTCACGAAAATCGAATTTCAACTTGAATTTCTTGTAATTTTTCTTTAAAAAAAATTGAAAAGTGTGTATTTCATTCAACAATCATTCACTCTGCAAATTGCTTGTAGGTTTGAAATCAAATTTCAAAACTCCGTAAAAATGATACTCATATACAGGCAGCCAGTTGTTTTGTTTTGTTTTCAATATATCACCTAATGTATCATCACAGTGATCTTGCCGTTATCAAAAAAAGTACTTGAATCTTTTCTTTTGCAAAACGAAAATAGGATTCAAAACAGTTAAACTGCAACATCAATAAATCAGAATCCACTTTTCTAAGATTGCAACAATATTACTTCGGTAGTAGTCTAATGGCTGGCATCGTGGTACATAATGCCCTAATTTCGAAATTTGTCCTTTTTGTTTCCCAAGTTTTATTCTAACAAAATCTGTATGACTAACAAATAAGAACTTGCAGTCAATATAAACACCAAAATTATTACATAACGGCTTAACGCCCATTCTTTAGAAAAAAATTGAATTGTTCATTTGTACAGTTTAAGATATATTGATATCTTATTTATTTGCTTTAACCATTTATCCAGGTTTTCAATGTATGTCTTTACCCAGGGGTTCCGCAAAATATATGGCCATATAATGGGGTTTCCGCCCTACATTATGCCATAATCGTCCTTCTTTCCGTCGATTATTTCCATAATCGCTCAGGCAAAATAAATAATGGCCATTATTGGGTTGTTTTCGTTTCATAATTTGAATGAAAAACAAAACAAATTATTCAATTTTACACAATTTTTGTAACGAGTTTAGCATCCCAAAGCTCCTTATCGACTTTTAAGAAAAGACTAGCCTCAAGGTGATGTGGAGTCATGCTTTTTCGAACAATGCAAGAAGTGCGAGCGTTGTTTGTTTTGCATGTGCACGCGCTTGCTTGCTCACTATTTGTTTTACATAATGGGGTTACGTCATCCCTAAATTATGGCCATAAACGAAGGCAGTTCCATGCATAATGGCCATACTTTTTGTCCTTTCCCTCCATTATTTACGGCCATAATGGACCCCTACCATTATTTTTGAGGAAGCCCTGTCTGTACCTTTTCAATTGTGCAGTCTAGTGCTGTTAACTTTGTATCATCTGGGAATAGAATTATGTCTTTTGACTTAAATGTTAAAGAAAGATCATTCATGTAAATAGTAAACAACAGTGATCCTAAGATTGAGCCATGCGGAACACCACATTCAATCGCATTCCAATCTGAACCCACGCCATTAACGGCTACCAGCTGTATACGATTGCTCAGGTATGGTTTTAACCAATTTAAACAAGCCATACTTTTTTTAAGGTCGATAATATCAATGGTTTTTTTTAAATCCAAGAAAAAGCTGTAAATTTCACTGGTCGATGATGGCAATCTTTTTTTCTCGGTTTGTTCTGCTAATGCTTCAATTGTGCTTTATAGCAGCAAGAAATTCTCCAAGTAAAAAAAATACACAAGATTGTGTACTGCTCGATCGTATTTTTTGCTCCAAACAATGAGAAGAGATATAGATCAGTAATTATTGTCATCCGTTCTCGATCACTCTTTGTGTAGAGGAAAAACCTTTGATTTGCAGTTCTTTCGGAAACACGTCCTTCAAAAAAGAAAGGTTGATCTTAAAGGCTAAATAGAGTGCCACAAACGTAGCTGAAGTTTTTACAATTGTATTACTGATGTATTCATCACCGGAGGAAAATTTATTATCTGAATTGTTGATGATATTCAATACTTCTACGGTGTTAACACTTTTTAGATACAGCGACAAAAGAAAAATTTCAATGTTTGGCCTGATTGTATTTGGAATGTCGTTTTTGAGTGTTTTGCCTATGGTTGTGAAAGAACACATTCACATACTCGGATTCTCTAGGGATGTCATTGATCTGACAATAAGAAGGCACTGGTGAATTTTTTCTATTTTTGAAATTTTTGCCACTGATATCATTTAGTAGTTTGTCTTGTGTCTCCGATACAATGATTAAATTTGTTCCAATAAAACAGCTGTTTTATTGCTTTACTTTTTTCGAATTGCGCTCCTCGGGTTCTTAATTTTAAAATTTTTTCCGAATTCGAAACTTGCGGTCTGATTTTCCAATTTTTTCCGTCTCAGGGGAGCAAAATCATCAAGTACACTCTCATACAATCGCCTAAAACACTGAAAAGCTGAATTTGGGACCTGTAACCCAGACAAACTACTTTCATTTGATTCAAAGCATCTTTAATTTTTTTCCAAAAGTTCAAATACCTCATGCGGTGCCTGAAAAATAGATGTATGACGGAAAGGAATTCCGTTGCTTAAGTTTTCTTTTTTTTCCATTGTATTGTGATCGGATAATGGTCAGCTATTTTTTCATAGCTGAGTACTTTTAGAATTGTCATGTGTATGGTCTGAAAAAGTTGATTTAAACAAGATTGCGGCTTTTTGTGACAGGGGTTGCTCCCTTTTTAGTAATCTCGAAACTATTTGTGGATATGGTGTATTAGTAATTCTGAGCTTGCAAATTAAAATCACCACAAAATACAAACAAACGATTTACCGATTTTCTCTCGTCTAAGACTTGATCCAACTCTTCTACGAAAATCAGTTTGTTAGTTTTGGGTTAAATGAATACAACTTCAACTTGTAATTTAACAGAATTTTTTAAATAATGCAGCAAAGTCAACTCGTCAAAGAGCATTGCGATTTGATTCAGTATACGGTAGGTATTTTTTATTTGGATCATTACGCGACCGCCATGATTTTTTCCATTTTTAGAGCAGAATTGGTTATAATCACTAGTCAACCAACATGATTTTTTTAAATCATTTTCTGATAACCACGTTTCAGGTAGACATTATTTCAGGTGGAGACTCAAGACTTAAAACTAGTGCTTCCAAGTCTTTTAGATGTTTTTTAATCGATGGAATTCTAGTATTTACGAGAACTATTTGTCATCAGACATCATTTTTGTCATCAGTCAACTACTTCGGCGTCTACGTTTTCGATTAGAAAGGGCGCTTCATCAATTGAGCTCATATTCTTTTGCTTAGGCTCTCGCGTATCTCCTTAAAATCACATGAAGTAGTCCAGCAAATCTTCTTTTTTCTTTTTTTTTTGCTCGCAACGCGTGGATAAGTTGGCTTCTTTTGCGTTTGCTCCATCAAATTTTAGATCACTTCGCCCTCTTTTAAGGTTGGATAGGCCAGTCAATATTGGTGTGGAGTAAAATTTTCATGTTTTTAAAATTAATTAGGCAAAGGGCTTCTCAAGGATGGATTTGGTTGCAGTGGATTATTAACTTCTTTTCGGAGCCTTCATCGTTCTACTTCGAACTTCGATATAACGGCTTCCCCTGCCAGAATTTCTCTGCATTTCTAGCTTGACGGTGCAATTGTCTGTTACTGTCCTGAGCTGTTTTTCCCTGTTGGCATAAGTGTGCACCCATTTATCCGATTCGGGTATTCTCTCATTGATAAATAAGTTTTTTCCATTGGATTTGTCGGTCACTCCTCTCAACATTGCTTTTGACCCCCATATAAAATTCTTGTCCTCGAAATTGATGAAATTAATGATGACTGCGGCTTGCCCTGTATTTGGGTTTCCTAGGTGGTGACATCCTTTTATGCTTTCACATCCGATATTAGCTTTGAACATGCTGTTCAGGAATTCCACGGCCTATGCCATCAAGGAAACTGTAGCATTCGATGGAAAATTCGATATGATGAGACAGCCTTGCTGTTGTACCTCTCGAACTTACACACTCGATCACTTAGCTCTGTGTATTGATCTCCAAATTCGCACTTTCTCTATTTTTTTCTCATAACTCCCATATCTTGAAGAATTGGTGTTATTTTAGAGTTTTCTGCTAGCAAACTTCTAGAGGCACTTTCCATTGAGTTTGAATCAGTAGGCATTTCGATTATCTGAAGCTATTCAATATATTTATCACAGTTAGGCTAAATTATATTGCTATATAATATTGTTATTCGTGGGCTTTATATATAATTTCTTGCTGTGGTTTTCGAGAGGTTTTGGTTTCAGGTTAAGACAATGAGAGACCAGGTCTGACGTTGGTATTTTTTTTGGAAACGTTAATGACTTCAAGAGTTGACAAAGCTCTGCAAGCAATAGACGAACAAGGAACGAAGTTTACCATTATTGACTCACCGCAGTCAATAGACGCTTATCTTCTTCAATCACCATCGGAAGTAACTGCGCAGCAAAAGTTATCAATAAAAGAAACCAATATTGAAAATATCACTCCTAGCTCGTCATCAGAAGGTGCGTTAAACGTACAGGGCAATTTGAAGATGGAATTTAATATGTGGATGTTCCAACAAAACCAGGCCAGCTTTGCTGCCTTAACGACTGCACCTCCCCCTCCTGTTCCACCGCCCTCGAAAGAACCCTTGAGATCAAACACATCTTCCAAGTCGAAATCTAAACAGACCGAACATACATCTTCCAGTAAAAAACGACCAGAATTATTAAGCGAACCGAAGCCTTCTCCAAGCGTTAGTTCGTTTGTAGTTCCCCCACCTAATGGAATGATGCCACCGCCACCCCCTAACGGAATGATTTTCACGCCTGGAAACTTGGAACTGCACCCTCCACCGGGCTTCGAAGCAATTTCTTTGGTTCTACCACCGCCTCCATCGTTTAACAACATTTTCCAACCTCCGAAACCGACTGAGTCGAAGACTCCGAGTTTGAGCTCAGAGGTGACGATAGCATCTAGTAAGTATTCAGAAAGCACCTCGTCGTCGAGTCGTTATGGAAGAAGTCGTTCGCCTCCGTCAAAGTTACGAGAAGCTAACTCGACAAGTCATCAGGCAAAAAGAAGTGACAGAGAGTTTAAACATATCAGACGGTCAGTAGGAAGGGATGAAGATGGTAGTTCAGATGGAGAATGCTCCCCAGATGAACAGCCTATTAAATCGAGAAAAAGAGGCAGGAAATCATCAAGAGGGGAAGAAGACAGCCAGAGGTCAAGGTCAAATGGAGGAGCTGCGGAATCAAGAAAAAGAAAGATAATGGCAAGGGAGAGGTCATGTTCTGGAAGTAGAGAAAGTAAAACGAAGAAAGAAAGCAAAAAGTCCAGGAGGGAAAGTAAAAAGAAAAAATCAGAGAAAAAGAAGTCGAAGTAAGTTTGTTATTGCATCCAATTTTCGCGAATCTAGGCTATTTTTTAGTTTATTTTAATTTCGTTTATTTTGTAAGTTAAGATAGTAGTAGACGAAGCTCTGATTGTAGCACGGTCAAATTCATACGTAAAGTTTTGGCAGATTGTAATAGAGCTGATAGTTTGGATTTTTGGGTGAGTTTAAATATGTTTTAGGGCAGCCAAAATTCTCGTCACAGAAGTGGACGATGTTGTCGGCTGCTGTGATGGCATCGAAAAAGAGTACGAAGAAGAAGTATCTGTCTCGGACAGTCAGGGAGAAGATGAGTACTCATCAATATCCGGGTCGCCTTTTTGCAGTTCAGTGGATAAAGATTCCGAGGGAGAGATATCGACGGATGAAGAACAGTATCAGCAAAGCAGAAGTAGATATACATCAGCAGTATCTTCTCATGAACGATACGCTGTAAAGCGAGGCTCTTATTCAGCATCATTTAGCAGAAGTACAATCAAGTCGAATCATCATCATAACAGGAGTGAATCGGATGGTCGTCAAAGACTAGATGACAAGTACTCACAGAACGAGAAAATGAGTCGAAGATACTCAAGACGTAAATCGCCCAGTCCGAACGAAGAGTCACCACGAGGTGATCGTCGTCGGGTGAGACGAGAAGATAACGAGAAGCTAGAAGATTCGCTGCAGCAGTTCAGACAACGAAAAGGGATGTCGAGATACAGCCAACAGCAGTCAATTAGTCCGGGATCATCGAGGTACAATAACAGCAATTCACGCTTCAGTGCTCCTCCGTTCAATTCTTTTAATAGTAGCCAATCTTTTTCAAATAGCTTCTCTTCGATATTTTCCAATAGAGGTCAAAAAAGCGCAAAAGATGACGAGTCTACGAAAGATGATGAGGATGACGGCAATAAAAATCCCTTAGCTGGAGACGATGTTTCGCCGATGGACAGAGCAAGGATAGATAACTACCTTAAGTCTTGTCAGCAAAGATATTCATATGGTTCATGTGGTCAAATAGCGTACTATGACTCGCATTGTCATATTGACTTTCTGTTTAAAAAGACTGGCTACAAGAAAACTTACAAAGAATTTAGAAAAGTGGTGCCATTTCCTGAGAACTACGGGGTGAGTTATTTGCATCCCATGCTTTTGCAATTCTCTTATATTACTAGGTATTTACGTATTTACTTCAATTTAAAAGTGATTTGGGAATATCTTTCACTTTTTATGCTTAATATTTGATATGTTTTTTTTGCTCTAAATGTATACATTGAGGCGCCTTAAGCTTAGTAAAACGTTTATATTCATTTTTGTTTGATGTTTTAGGGATGTGTGGCTGTGTTTTGTGAGCCCCACGCATTCTCTCGCTTCTCAATTGTGGAAAAAGTTCTAGAAGAGGAGAACTTGGTGGCCTGTTTTGGCTGTCATCCCCACAGCAGCAACATGTACAACAACCAGCTGGAAGCCAACATAAGACGCATGATGACTCACCCCAAAGTGAGGGCCTGGGGCGAGTGTGGTCTGGACTACTCGGACAGGTCGCGGGGGGTCGATAAAGAGATACAACAATATGTCTTCAGAAGGTCGTATTTAGTCCCCCGGAGACTTTTCAAATTATAAATTAGAGTTACATATACTTGCATTTTAAGAAGGGACGCCATTTTGAAAAAATTTAATTTGTTTTTTTTTTTCAAATTGCATCTCTGGCGTTAAAGACTGAATATTTGAATGCTTGGCAACGTGAGTTCTTTTCCGTTACTTTGTTTGTCCGTTGAGCTTTTCTCTGTAGCTATTTTTCTATATATAGCTTGATTTTTTTGTCTGCGATATGGTTTCGAAGTGTTAACAAATACTTTAAACTCACCAATCTAGTATTATCTGAAGCAAAATGTTTTATTTTTTCGAATAGGCAGTTGAAATGCGCAGTGGAACTGAAGAAACCGCTTTGTGTACACAGCAGACAATCTGATGAAGATCTGTTCGATATATTGAGAGAAGAAGTACCCCCTGACTGGAAAATTCATCGGCACTGTTACACCGAAAGTCCAAAAATGGCTCTGAAGATGATTGAATATTTTCCAAATATGTATATTGGCTTTACAAATGTGCTAACGTATCCCAATGCTACGGACGCTATTGCCACAGCCTGTGCTATTCCGCTGGATCGGATTCTGCTAGAAACTGATGCACCGTATTTTCTACCTGCTGGAGCGCCCAAGTCAATGAAAAATTCAAATCCAAGCATGGCTATACAGGTTACTATGATTTTTGCTATCTTTTAAATGTATTAATAAATCATGATTTTTTTTAGAAATGATTTACTGCCTTACAGAAGATTTATCGGCTAACCTGATTTTTTTTTTAAATCATCCAAATTGATAAGATTAGTTTGGAATTTGCTTATCTTGCGTTTAACAAAATTTAGTTATGCAAAAAAATCTACTGATCAAGGAGCGCCTAGTCCGTTTCGAATATAACGAGAAAGAATTTTTATTTTTGTTTTTCTTGACGCTGAGATGTCATCTGTATTTTTTTTTCAAAAAGGAAATACCTTATGTGAAAATTTACATTGGAACAAATCAATCAGAGGAAAATATCGCCACGCTTACCTTTCGTGCTGGCTAGTTTTCGTGAAATAATTTGAAATTGTTTGCTTTATCTGTGACGAATTGCGAGGAGCTTACTTTTAGCCAGACATTTTCCGCAATTGTTATCAAAAGTTTAGTAAATCGCGCTGTGAAAATTGAAATACAAGTTGTTATTGAATGAAAAGCGCAAAATGCGTTGGAAATCAGCTTAGCTTTGCAATGTCAACTAAAGATTTATGATCATATCTAGGATCACTTACTCGAATGGTTTCATAAAAAGATTTTTTGATTTTCCCGCGATCATTTTGGTCTTAGCAATATGCTAAAATCAAGAAAAGCAAATCTCCATTCCATCTTTTGACAACAGTTGTTTTAAAAACAAAACAAGACGAGAAAATAACTTTTAAATTAGTGGATGCAGTTGAAATCATGACTTTTTACCGCCATCTTGTTGACACTCCAAGTCAATTTTCAGTCAGTATAAGTTAAATCGCGCTTCAATCTGAAAGCCGTTGCATATCCTAACATACTGGCAGCAAATGTGTAATCGCAGATTTTTCAATTCCCGAGTTTCAGGCATAATTACAGCGAGGTGGCCTTAATCACAAGATTCAAGTAACGAGCTCTTGAGAGTGTTGAAAAACCCCAACTATAAAAATATTATTTAAAAAACTGAAGGGCCTGTTCAATTCGATCTTGAATCCTACCAGTTATGGTGTTTAGTAGCGCACTGAATTAACAGCTGGAAGCTGTGACATTAAGTGTTCCAAATCAAAATTTAGGAGAAATTGGTAATCAATGACAAAAATTTTAATGAAAGCGCATCAGATATCAGTAGTTCAGAAACCACTGCAATTAACTGATCAATATTCAATGTTTATGTTTTTTTATTCAATTGATTCCATGTTATCCATGGATCTTTTAAGAATTGATTGAAAATACACTCATCAGAGCCCCAAAATTTAGTTTAATGCAATCTTCTATTGAGTTGCAAGGTCTCGAGCTCTATGTGATTTCATATTATCAGACAGTTAGTGATCGTTCGATATCATATTACCTGAGCTCTGATAGTTATCAAACAAAAAAAAGTAAAAACTGGAACTTAACTTTTTGTTGTTATTTGCTGAACAGTTTGCGTTTACTTGTCATATGCGAACAAATTGTAGTATTGGTTTTAGGCGAAGGGATAGCTTAATGGCGCGAAAAATATTCTCATTTGTTGAAAAGAGAAACGTCGAAGGCAAAATCCTGGATGATTATGATGTTTCAAAACAAATCAAGCAGTGCAATACTATTGATCAAATCTTATTGACAGTAATTTGTCTTCGTAACGATGTGGACTGCCGAAGAGAGTGGTGAATCAGTTGAGCTTGAAAAACTGAAGTTTCTCAAACAAAACCTTGTTTCCTCCCTACGTTTTGAGTCATGGAGTTGTTAAAAAATCCTTAAATTTTTAGGTACTCTGTTCTGATGCGCTCCAGTCATGAAGCCGTTGGATGTCATGATCTTGTTATAACGAAAACTGGAACTGTAGTTGCAGCACATACGGTGCGAAGCTGCTATTTATTTGCTATTTCGTTTTTGCGATATTCATAGAGTCGTAAAATTATCCCCAAATAATTAAGCTAGCCATCATTAAAGTTTATCTGGAAATATTTGAAACTAACTTTTTAATGTGTGAATAGGCATTTAATATTTTTAATATGCATTTAACATGCGTGGAATTGAAGAAACTCACGGTGTGCGCAGGAAAATATGAAGATTTGTTTGATTGTTTTGAAAAAAGTTGGATCGACATGAAAAAACATCATCACTGCCCCGTCGTAATCGAGAAACTGCTGAAGAGAACTACTTTCAAATGTATTCTTGGCTCTATTTTTCTTCTAATGTATCCAATGTTACTGACGCTATTGCGATAAGCTGTGTTATTCTCTTGAGTTTGATTGTACTAGAACTGATGCCCTTCGTTGCCCTCTGGAGCCTCCATTTCCATGAAATTTCAATGTAAGCCTGGTTTACAGGTTGTAGTGCGTTTTCCTGTTTTTACTTATGAAATTGTAAAATTGCTAAAAATTGACTTATCACTTATAAAAAATATCCTTCAACATGTATATCGTTATTCGAAAGTTGCCATTTTTGCTTGAAATCATTTTGGTTAATTTTGCCTTTTTTTCAAATAACTTTGGAGACTGAAGTCGGTTGTAATTTCTCTGAAAAATTTTAATTGATTGCAATTTTAATTTTTCGTTGTTTTTTTTCGGGATATGTTGAGTTTTTTTTTCTCAAATTGCATGAGCTAAAACCCATGAAAAATATTTTTGACTCAAATCTAAATTGTTATGGAAAACCAGTCAAATCAACAATCATTTGCATTCAAAGTTGTTCGCGTAAACTGAGCGTACCAACCAAGTTTCATTTTTTTTTATTTTAGCGTAGTGAATTTTTCATAAGGTTCAAGTTGCGAGCTCTGAAAGTTTTAAATGCTCTTTTTTCAAACATGTATTTTCAATGTGAAGTACTGTTTTTTTTTTCATTTGATAACAGTTATGTTGTTCCGTTGTGCGCTGTAGTAGCAACTGAATTCTGAGAAGCTCAAAGTCTTCCGACTGAAAAATTTTGAGAAATTTGTAATCGTTGGTACAGTTTTTTATGAAATCGTAATAGATAGCAGTACATCCGAAACCACTGCAATTAATTGATCAGAGTTCATTTTATCATTCAATAAGTTAAATTTAGTTTTTTTTACCTCCTCTAAAGGTTGATTGAAAAATACCTAATCAGGGCCCAAAATTGAGTCAAAACCAATCCTCAGAAAAATCATAATTCAAGAAAGTCACTGTGTGCAGCTAAAGATGAAGTTCCATCGCCTGGAAAAACATCGGCACTGCCTCATCGAAATCGTGAAACATCTGGAGTGGATCGCTATTTCAAATTACATTTTTGGCTCTAATAGTATACTATTGTATCCCAATGTCACTGAACCCATCGCGATAGGATGTGTCATTCACTTGAGTTGGATTTTACTAGAAAAGATGACTTTTTTGCCTATTCGAGAATCCATTTACAGAAAAGTTTCCAATCTGAGCCTGACTTACAGGTTGTGCTTTTTGGTATTTTTACCAAATTTTGAAATCATAGTAATGATATTAGAAATGACCTACCGTCTTCAAATTTATCCTTAACGTAGAATATCGTTATCCAAGCTTGCTTCAATTTAATTTTGATGGATTTTTTGCGTTTCACTTTTGCTATGATAATTTTTGGCAAACGAGCGATTCATTGCCTCATGAGAAGCAACCTGCGAGGAGCTCACTGTAAGCGTGATATTTTTGCATTTATTATTTTCGAAAATCTTTAGAGAAAGAAGTAAGTTAAATATTCTTGAAATAAACAAAATTTTTAAATGGATGCCTTGTTGTTTGATGTATTAATTTCGGATGTGCAGTACTTTTTTTCTTGATTTGCATGAGCTAAAAAAATGTTGACTGAAAATTGTAATTAGTATAAAAAAATCACAAAAATCATTTGCATTTGTTTAAATCAACTGATCGTGCCAAACAAGCATTAGTTTTTTTACATTAGTTAATCACAGCAAAGTGGCTTTTTAATAAGGTTCAAGGTACGAGCTCTGAAATTTAAAAAAAAACCTCTTATTTCAAACATGTTTTTTTTTCATCAATTTAAAGGACATTTTTTATAACCATTTTGATGGCATTTATGCTGTTTGGTTCTGCGCTGTAGTAGCAACTAAATTCTGAGAAACCCAAGGTGTTCCAATTGAAAATTTAAAAAAAAATTGAAAATAAATCTATTTTTTTTCAGGAAACCGCAATAGATAGCAGTAGTTCGAAACCACTGCAATTAATTGATCCAGATTCAATGTTTTTTTATTAATTAAATTTAGTTTCCATAGTTCTTGTAATGGTTGATTGAAAATAACCTCATCAGAAGCCAATTTTTAGTCGAATTCTATCCTCAGAAACATCATAATCGAAGGAAACCACGGAGTGCGCAGCAAAGGTTGGAGATGTAATTGTTTTTTTTTTTGAAAAAAGAAGCTCGATCGACTGGAAAAAATATCGTCACTGCCTTATCGAAATCGAGAAACGGCTGAAAAGGATTATTTTTTCCAATTACACTTATGGCTCCTTTAACGAACTAACTTATCCCAATGTTACTGATGCCATTGCGATAGGCTGTGATATTCGCTTGAGTTAGAATTCACTAGAAATGGTGCTTTTTTGGCCTACTGGAGCGTCCCATTCCATGAAAATATTCAATGAAAGCCTGGCTCACAAGTTGTTGTGATATTTGCTGTGTTAACATAATTATGAAATCAAATTAATTTAGTTAGAATTGACTTCTTGCCTATAGAAAATATCATTCAATTTGAATGTTGGTATTGGTACGTAACTAAAATTGCTTTAGGTAAGTTTTTTTTTATATTTTTTTCCGTTTCTAAATTGGCTATGATAGTTTTTAGCAAACTAGAGATTTCTTGCCTCATAAGAGATTCTGCGAGGAGTTCACTGTAAGCGTGACAGTTTTGCAATTAAATTTCTCAAATATCTTTGGAGAATGAAGTCGGATAGACTTTCTCCTGAAAACAACAAATTGTTACCTTGGTTGCAATGTTGTTTGTTTTATTCATTTCGATTATGTGGAGTTTTTTCTTAAAAAATCCTCAAAACATCATAATCGAAGGAAACCACGGAGTGCGCAGCGAAGGTTGGAGATGTAATTGTTTTTTTTTAAAAAAAGAAGCTCGATCGACTGGAAAAAATATCGTCACTGCCTTATCGAAATCGAGAAACGGCTGAAAAGGATTATTTTTTCCAATTACACTTATGGCTCCTTTAACGAACTAACTTATCCCAATGTTACTGATGCCATTGCGATAGGCTGTGTTATTCGCTTGAGTTAGAATTCACTAGAAATGGTGCTTTTTTGGCCTACTGGAGCGTCCCATTCCATGAAAATATTCAATGAAAGCCTGGCTCACAAGTTGTTGTGATATTTGCTGTGTTAACATAATTATGAAATCAAATTAATTTAGTTAGAATTGACTTCTTGCCTATAGAAAATATCATTCAATTTGAATGTTGGTATTGGTACGTAACTAAAATTGCTTTAGGTAAGTTTTTTTTATATTTTTTTCCGTTTCTAAATTGGCTATGATAGTTTTTAGCAAACTAGAGATTTCTTGCCTCATAAGAGAATCTGCGAGGAGTTCACTGTAAGCGTGACAGTTTTGCAATTAAATTTCTCAAATATCTTTGGAGAATGAAGTCGGATAGACTTTCTCCTGAAAACAACAAATTGTTACCTTGGTTGCAATGTTGTTTGTTTTATTCATTTCGATTATGTGGAGCTTTTTCTTAAAAAATCCTCAGAAACATCATAATCGAAGGAAACCACGGAGTGCGCAGCAAAGGTTGGAGATGTAATTGTTTTTTTTTTTTTTGAAAAAAGAAGCTCGATCGACTGGAAAAAATATCGTCACTGCCTTATCGAAATCGAGAAACGGCTGAAAAGGATTATTTTTTCCAATTACACTTATGGCTCCTTTAACGAACTAACTTATCCCAATGTTACTGATGCCATTGCGATAGGCTGTGTTATTCGCTTGAGTTAGAATTCACTAGAAATGGTGCTTTTTTGGCCTACTGGAGCGTCCCATTCCATGAAAATATTCAATGAAAGCCTGGCTCACAAGTTGTTCTGATATTTGCTGTTTTAACATAATTATGAAATCAAATTAATTTAGTTAGAATTGACTTCTTGCCTATAGAAAATATCATTCAATTTGAATGTTGGTATTGGTACGTAACTAAAATTGCTTTAGGTAAGTTTTTTTATATTTTTTTTCCGTTTCTAAATTGGCTATGATAGTTTTTAGCAAACTAGAGATTTCTTGCCTCATAAGAGAATCTGCGAGGAGTTCACTGTAAGCGTGACAGTTTTGCAATTAAATTTCTCAAATATCTTTGGAGAATGAAGTCGGATAGACTTTCTCCTGAAAACAACAAATTGTTACCTTGGTTGCAATGTTGTTTGTTTTATTCATTTCGATTATGTGGAGCTTTTTCTTAAAAAATTGGCATGAGCTAAACCCTTTTAAAAACGTTTTTGACTGAAAGTTTTAATTGCTATGATGAATAAGTGAAATCAACAAGCATTTGCATCCAAATTTGTTCTCGTAAACTGATCGTACCAACCAAGTGTCAGTTTCTTTAAGTGACAGCGAATCGGCATTTTCACAAAATTCAATTTACGATCTCTGGAAATTTAAAATAACCCCTCATTTTAAACACATGTCTTAGTTTTTCATTATCAAGGAAAATTAATTTCTCCATTCATTTCGGATGTGTAGTGTTTTTCTCCTTAATTTGCATGAACTAAAAAATGTTGACTGAAAATTTTAATTGCCATAAAAAGTCACCTAAATCAATTTGAATGTTGTTATTCGTACGTAACTAAATTTGCTTTAAATTAGCTTTATTTATTTTGCAATAAGTTTTTATTTCCTGAATTCTGAGAAAACCAAGGTGATCCGATTGAAAAAAATTTTAAAAAAATTAAAATTAAATACTTTTTTTCAGGAAATTGCAATAGATAACAGTACTTCGAAACCACTGCAATTAATTGATCCAGATTCAATGTTTTTTTATTAATTGAAATTTAGTTTCCTTAGTTCTTCTTATCGTTGATTGGAAATAACCTCATCAGAAGCCTATTTTTAGTCAAGTTCAATCCTCAGAAACATCGAAATCGAAGGAAATCACGGAGTGCGCAACAAAGGTTGGAGATGTAATTGATTTTTTTGAAAAAAAAAGTAGCTCGATCGACTGGAAAAATATCTTCACTGGCACATCGAAATGGAGAAACGGCTGAAAAGGATTATTTTATCCAAATACACTTTTGGCTCCTTTAATGAACTAACTTAACGCAATGTTACTGACGCCATCGCGTTAGGCTGTGTCATTCACTTGCTTTAGATTTTACCAGAAATGGTGCATTTTTTTTGCCTACTGGAGCGTCCCATTCCATGAAAAT